TGGAAAAGGACCTGGGGGTGCTGGTCGACAGCCGGCTGAACATGAGCCGGCAGTGTGCCCAGGCGGCCAAGAAGGCCAATGGCATCCTGGCCTGTATCAGAAATAGTGTGGCCAGCAGGAGTAGGGAAGTGATCGTGCCCCTGTACTCGGCACTGGTGAGGCCGCACCTCGAATACTGTGTTCAGTTTTGGGCCCCTCACTACAAGAAGGACGTCGAGGTGCTAGAGCGCATCCAAAGAAGAGCAATGAAGCTGGTGAAGGGTCTGGAGAACAAGCCTTATGAGGAGCAGCCGAGGGAACTGGGGTTGTTTAGCCTGGAGAAAAGGAGGCTGAGGGGAGACCTCATCGCTCTCTACAACTACCTGAAAGGAGGTTGTAGCGAGGTGGGGGTCGGTCTCTTTTCCCACGTAACAAGTGATAGGACAAGAGGAAATGGCCTCAAGTTGCACCAGGGGAGGTTTAGATTGGATATTAGGAAAAATTTCTTCCCCAAAAGGGGTTGTCAAGCACTAGAACAGGCTGCCCAGGGAAGTGGGTGAGTCACCATCCCTGGAGGGATTTAAAAGATGTGTAGGGACATGGTTTAGTGGTGAACTTGGCAGTGCTAGGTTAATGGTTTGACTTTATGTTCTTAAAGGTGTTTTCCAACATAAGTGATTCTATGAAACAAACCACACTTTCATTGACTGTAACTTTCAAAGATTAATGACAAGATATTTTCAGTGGAGATCCTCAGCTATGAATATTTCTATACCTGGGAAAGAAGTTTCCTAAATGCCAAGTATGTATTATCCTCCCTTCCTTCACCCCCAAACCCCAAAATTTCACGGTTGATTGATACAACTCCGCAAGTAAACCAGTTATGCTATCTATTGTGTGTAGTGCAGCATGCATATTAAAGTGTACATTTCAGTTACATTTCCATGAACAAGCTTTCTGATGCACCAGCTAGATTTCAGTTTCTAATAGACTAGGACTAGACACAGGGAAACGTTAAGTGCAAAATCCCAAGGGTCAGTTCTGTATTAGATCCCCACGCCACCATCTGGCATCAAACCTTAGATGTTCCAGTAACAGTTAAAAAAATCCTTTATTGTCTTTGTCTTACAATGTCATTGTCTGCTAAAGAAATAATTTTTGTGAACATAGGATGGATGTTCTAGCCTTTTATTAACTTTAACACCAGGCAAGCTAAGAGAAGGCTAGGAAGGTTTTATAAGACAGCTGTGACATTTACATCTGCCTTAAAATGGACCAGCAACACGCTGTGCCCCTGAGAGTTTTTAACACCTATAACTAGCCTGCAGGCAAGAGATTATTTTTTTTCCCCCCACGTTTGCAGCATTCCAAAAATCAGAATTGTTCCAGGTCACAGACAGCCTAATGAGTCTGGATTCACACATTTTAGGGCAGATGAATATTGCTTGCTACTTCACACTTAAATATGATCAATTTTACCTTTCTTTTCAGGGCTTAGCAGATACTGGAGCTTTCAAGAGACTGAGCAAGCTTCTCCATCTGAACCTAACTGAATAAAATTTGAGGTTACTTTAAAAGTTCAAATAGACGTGAATGGGATTCCTGTGAAGTTGTTTCATGGTGCTTTTACATAATCAGCTACAAAGTTGCTTCACAGCCTTTAGTAAGTGAGAAATCAGCTGAGCTTTACTGAATTAAAAAGCCAGATCAAACATACTCTGGGGGCCTAAGATGTCCTGAAAGGTAAGTTAAATACATTCAGTTTCTAGGATGATAAGAATTTAAAACAAGTCCCAGTGAGCCAAAAGGGGGAAAAAAAAAAAAAACAACCAAAAAACCAGCATACTTGGTCTGAGCAAAAAGCCTTGGGAAATCTGTGCGTGCAAACCAAAGTGATGTTGTAAGCTGCCATCTCTGTCCACTAACTGCTTTCATCAAAACCTCTTCTCTACAGTCTGAACACACACATACACACCCTCTGCCCCCAAAAGGTGGTACGGTCATTACCCTGTGGCCTGGTATCACATGGACTTTTGGATACCAAAAAAGCCCCAGCTTTTCATGTCATTATATTCTAGTTTGGTTTGTCAATTGCTGAATAACTGACTTAAAATTACAAATAACTGGGGGGACAAATATCACAAGCCCAGCCTGGTGAGGACACATGAGGATTTTCCATTTGAACTACAAAAAAAAGGCTCTCAAGTAAGACTGAAGACCAACACAGTTTCCCCATTAAAGGAAATCTCAGATTCAGATTTAAAGACCAGGCACGATGGGATGACTGAATCAGAATCCCTCTGCAGGAAGGCACTGGTAGCTCAGCTATCCAAATTGTCATACAAGCTCATAGTTAGCTCTAAATCAGAGGGTCAGGAAAGCTGGCAAGAGGCTAGCAGCCCACCTTTGGCTGCAAGCCATGAGAAACCACAAGTAAGGGCAACTGAGAAGAAATTTTGTGAGATGGTGAAAAGACAGAGTTCACCAGTTCAGCCACGGTACAGCCAGGATACCCACCTCGCATGAACAGTTCTTTCTCAGAAGGAAAAGCTCTGCCTGGGGATGGATGAGGAGCTGACTGAGAGCTTATGGGTCAGGATTAAAGGGAGGGCAGGGACAGGTGACATTACAGCAGGGGTCTGCTACAGGCCACCCAACCAGGAAGACCGAGCGGATGAGGCCTTCTATAGACAGATAGGAGCAGCCTCACGTCCACAAGCCCTGGTCCTCATGGGGGACTTCAACCATGAGGGACAACACAGCAGGGCATAAGCAATCCCAGAGGTTTCTGGAATGCGTTGATGATAACTTCCTTCTCCAAGTGATAAAGGAGCCAACGAGGAGAGGTGCTATGCTGGACCTTGTTCTCACCAACAAGGAGGGGCTGGTGGGGAATGTGAAGCTCAAGGGCAGCCTGGGCTGCAG